CGCTCCATCCCAGAGAGCAGGCCGTTGGGGTGGCGGGAGGCTGTGAAGTGGAAATGGTGAGAACGGAGGGAAGCCCTGCTGGTGTCATTCCCAGTGAACCCCTGGGAGGCGCTCTCGCTCTGAGGAAATAGCTCCCCTTCCTCCGTCCTGTATCCCCCCATGGGATGCTCTCCAGACCCACTGTGAAGCCATGGGGCAAGTCACCCTCCCCCGCAGGGCCATCTGTAGGGAGGTGTGGGGGTGGAGCCCCTGCTCCATCCCCACCCTGCTTCTACCTCCTCCACTCCCATTGCACCCCTTCCCTGGGAGATGCAACCCAGGGACCACCGGGGGGCCTGGCCCAGGGTGGCAGCAGGGGTCAGTCCTCCCCCCCTCCCACATATTCACCATGGCGGAGCAACCCAGCAGCCTGCTCCGCTCCGTTGTCCACGGCTCCCACCACTGCAGTGCGTGGGGGGAGGCCTGAGCCCTGCTGCCAGCTCCAGGCCTCCCCCAAGTAATCCCCTGGCAGCCAGACCAACCGCCCTGGGCCCTGTGGCTAACAAAAATATGGGGTCTGTCCTGTCCACTGGATGGGTGAGGTGGCCGCAGCAGAGCCCCCCAAAGCGTGGGGCTTGGGAAGGTCTCCCCAAACCATCCTTTGCTCCCTCGGTACTTTCCAGTTCCAGGTTCGTGCCGCACACGGAGGGGTGGCTGCGATTCGTTTCCTGGCTGTCCTGAACCTGCATGAGCCCGAAGGCGGGAGCTCGCTCCCGTCCTTCTGGGGGAGCCGTGTGTGTTCAGCCTGAGGGCGGCTCTTCCCCATGCTCCCAACCGGGCGGGTCCTTTGCGTGAGACCCTTCTGGGCGTGTTGCCGTGGCGTGGTGCTCTCCCTGTGTCCTTCAGGGCAGGGAGTTCCCTGAGGGGAGCTGCGATTTTAGGACTCCTGAGCTGGGAGTGGCAGGGCTGTCGGGCATTTCCGTTGGGTGGTGCTGCTGCAGACATGGTGTTTTGATGGCGTGCCTGCTTGTTCCATCCCTCAGGTACCTTCTGCGCGCTGGACATCTGCCTCTCTCAGCTCCAGGACACGGGCACGCTGAACGTGTACCAGACGGTGATGCGGATGAGAACGCAGAGGGCCTTCAGCATCCAGACCCCCGAGCAGTACTTCTTTTGTTACACGGCCATCATCGAGCATGCACAGAGAGAGGGCCTGCTGCCTTCCACTCCCACCCGGGCAGGCCAGGAGAAGAGCTAATGGGGGCAAAACCCAATCCGACGGCAGGGACTGGCTCTCCTGTCAGTCACAACCAGCCTGCCTTCCTCACGACAGTCCGGCTTCAGCAGAGCCTTCAGTAACCAAACTCCTTTGTCGTAAGGCCGCCGTCGACTTTTGCTTGGCTAGCTGGTTCGGACGAATCGCGGCGAGTAGCCACTGACTAGCAGCGCGTGGTCTTAACTGTTAGCACCTGCTGTTGAACTGTGCCTTATTCAAACCAAATTGTGGCTGCCACTTGCCGGGGTAACTAGAGATAAGTAGGAAGAGGATCTACCCCTTGGTATGATTTCATTTTTGTGGGACCACCTGAAATCCATCCAGAGGACTTGACTTAAAAAATATCCATTTCCGGTACCCCCTTAGCCTTGGGCTTCAGAAAGGCACATACGTCCGTCTAACCTGCCACTAGGTGTGTGTCCCCGTCTGTATGTATGTGTGTATATAATATATATACTCCATATGTTGAGGTGTAGCCTACGTCAGTATTATATAGATACATATATACATACACCTGGTTCTAGCCCCTCCTGGGGCGTAGTGTTGTAATATTGTCCACCTGCTGTGGTCTCGCGCGTGGCGAGTTCCAGCCTTGCATTGTTAATGGCCCTGTGATGTTCCTGGCTCTGTTTTGTTTTTCTTTTCACTCCTCCACTGCGGCTGCAGGAGACACACACACTTGCTAGTGCACGTGGCTGTAGGGACCATGGCGTGAGCTGTGCCGACGCAGTCCCATTGGATCAGGGTGGTGGGGGAAGCGGCGCTAGGCCCAGCGAGATCCGAGTGCATGTGCAGGGATTACACTGGCTTGCCTGTCTTATTTGGAGGAGCGGTCCAGGGACAGCTCTTTTCCCTCGGGTGAGGAGTTGTGAAGAAGGGACCCTGCCTTCCTGGGCTGGGGATGACTCCCCTGCTAACTAGGGAGCAGCGAGGGGGGCAGTAGGTACGAAGTGTTGCAGGGTAGAGGACTCGGCGGAAGTGGGCTTTACCAAGGAAGTTTGGACTCTGCTGGTAACTTCCTTCTGTGCTTTTCCTGGGAGTCCCCCTCCTGCCTGTCTCTGCCAGGCAGACATCCGGGGATGAGTTGCGGCTGCCCGAGTGTCAAGCCAGAACGACCATAAGGTGTAGAAGCCAAAAAGCTGCAGCATCTGTTTTCCCAGCCAGTGCCCGTCCTGCCAATCAATGCACAGACGGTGCAACCCCAGCACTCCCCAGGGCTGCTAGGATGCCTGACTCCCCCCAGGGGGGAGAGGTGGTCAGTAGCGCTGTTCTGTGCTCTGCTCTCTGAAGGAGAACATGCTTCTTTTCCCAGCCTGGTTGGTCTTGTATTGAACATTCACTCGATTGAGCCAGAGCTGGAAATCGTGGTAACTGTTCCTGTGCGCTATCGCGTGGCAAGGCCGTTTGTGTGTTCATGGATGAATATTCCTTCCGATGAGCCAGATGCTTAGCTTGGTCAATGCCGCCGCCGGGGAACGGGAAGGGGAGCTGACGCGCGAGAGTCGGTGGACACCGAGGGAGGGGAGTTAGGGCTGTGGGTCTGACAGCACGAGAATGAGCTTTGTCCAGGGGGACCCCAGCCTGGTCCTCTGTCTACTGAAGTCCGTGGGAGTGTCTGTCTGTGTGACCTCAAGTCCAGTGGAACCTGCATCAGGTCTGCAGGGAGGTATCCAGTGCGCACCTCTCTTCCACGCCTGATGGCCTCAGCAGGAGTTTGTGGCTCCATGGGAGAAGACCCTTCTAGGTAGACCTGGGACTCATTGGTAGAACTTCACAATCCTTTGTAGTAGTAGAGGCAGAGCCGGGTGGCTGCTGTTGGTTTCATGTTGGTATACATGTGTTAATTATGGATTAATTTACTGTGCTTCTCGTGCCTACAATACGGGCCTAGCTAATCCCTTTGGATCTCTGTTACTTAGGGCCACCAGCCAGCCAGAAGACTGCTAGGTAAATGAGTCTCTTCTTGCTTCACTGCTGTTTGGCTCTGTACTATAGCCTTGTGGAGAGAGGTCGGGTACAGGTATCCACCTGGGCGTGGCGGGCGGGGTTTTCCTTTTCCTTTCCAGATAGCCAGCAGGGTCAGTAACTGACAGGCTCACTCCGAACACCTCCGCCCCTTCACCGTGAAGGGAAAGGCATGTGCCACTCCCACTGATCCTTCCCTCCTCCCAACTCTGGATCAGAAGGCTGACAGATTGTCAGCACCTCCATAAGGGTTTCATTGGCTGACTTTCCGCACAATTGAGTACAAGAGTAATCACTGATCGCTCCTCAGGTGCAATACAAACGGGGGGCTGGGTTTTGATCTGCTCCGGTAAATGGGCACAATGCTTATGGGCATGATGCTTATGATTTATGTGCGTTACGTTCACCCTTATGATCCCCCACCATGAACAGAGCCCAGTTGGTAGGTGCTGAGCATGCACACAGTCGCTGCCCTGACAACCATCCAGTCCCTATCCAGATCTCCTGGCTCCCAGTCTAGTGTCCTGTGCATTGGGCGACATAACCTGGCGCTTGCTGTGCAACCCTGCAGTACGTGCATGTTTGATCCCATTTCTGTGGCAACAGTCGCCACCAGGGCAACAGGTGCTAGGACCCTGCTGAGAGCTGTAGAATCATTCGGCAGCCAGACCAGGTGGATCTTGGTCACTCCTGCGCAGGAGACTACAGGCATGTTGAGAGGGCCGGAGGGGGCTGTGTACCGTGTAGAGACAAGCCGGGCAGGCAGCAGGGGGGACATGACTTGCCCATGCTCACACTGTAACTGAGCTGGGACCAGAACCCCTGTCTCCTGAGGCCCGATTCTGTGCCCTGCGCATTAAGTTGCCTTTCTTGGGACAGGGATTCATTGATGGAAAAGCCGAGCTCGCTTAGGTGGCATTCTGGGCCCATTGTAAGCAAGGGTGGTTTTACGACTGAAGTCTGTGGGATGTTCCCATGCCAGCTTCTTTTTGCCACTCCCGTGCCCCTTTGCTGTGGGAAGGGAGCACGCACCCGGAGCGCCATCCGCAGTGGGCCGGTTTGTGATTCTGTTGAATTGAACTGGATGCTGGATCCGTCGAAATAGGAGCCTTTAAATGCCCTTCTGTGCTGGGCCTTGCCCTTGTCCCATCACCGGTGAGACTGGCAAAGCAGGCTGCTGACGGGTTTCAGCTGCTGGCTGCCTGCTGAGTCAGATAGATCCTGGCTGCCAAAGCCAGCATGAGCCTTTTGGATCCTTGGAAATGAGCCATAAGAAAACGCTTCTGCCCCGTGGGTGAGCCAACTCCCAGGGGCCACATTGGGGGGAGGGCTAGCTCAGCAGTTTGAGCAGTGGCCTGCTTAACCCAAGGTTGGGAGCTCAATCCTTGAGGACGCCATTTAGGGATCGGGGCAAATCAGTCAGGGATGGTTCTTTTGATCCTGCCATGAGGGCAGAGGACTGGACCCGACCTCTCAAGGTCCCTTCCAGCTCTATGAGATAAGTATATCTCCATATTATTTTCTCAGTGCAACCCAGAGTGAGACAACTGCAAGAGTTCGCAGCCTCCTCCAGCCAGTTGGATGCCTCCTTTCCTGAGGCCATCTGCATGGATACAGAGGCAGGACTAAATTCTGCTCTCTCTGACCCCTGCATGAATCTGGGGTAACGTGATTGACTACACTGGTTACCTGGGCTCAACACCCCCATGACAGAGAACAGGTTTTGGTCCAGGCACTGTGTACAGTTAACAGTGTGCTGATAAATATACATAGACACATTCTGATGGAACTAGGAAGCCAGTTCTACCATCTGTGGGCATCTGGCTCTCGCACCTGATTTACAAATGGAGCGAATAACAGCCCAGTAATTTGTGTGATCAGAACCCTGACTCCTTCCAGTTCACTTGTTCTTGTGTTACATTCTAGTGGGGCTTGGTCATGACTTGTTAGAACGAAGGTTGCAGAAGCGTTTCCATTCAAATCCCGTTTTCAGTTGCTTGTAATTTTTTAGGGCTGAAATTTTCCAGGCGTGGTCTCTGCCTGGAGTGGGTTTAAATAATAGAGCTGAGCTATACCCATTCATCCGGGTGAAACAAAGAGGACAGAAACATTTGTTTAGACTGGCACTGGGAAATTTTTTGTGTTAACAAAACTCTTTTGCTTTGTTTCTTAAAAACATTTTTGTTTCCATTTAAAAATGACAGGTTTGAATGTTGAAATTTGGTCTGAAACTAGCCTTAAGTGAGGAGCTGTGTGCAGCCTTCTTCCAACAGCGACGGGGTTTGATTTCAACTGCATTTGAAATGTATCTGCTGTACGATGTTCTCACCAAGTTCATTAGGGCCCCCAGTCCTGCAAACACTTGTGCACGTGCTCGACTTTAACCACACAAGTAGATTCCATTAATGTCAAGGGCTTGATCCAGGCAGCCGGAATCCTCTTCTTGGCTTCTGTGGGCATTGGATTGCTCTTGACTTGCAAACCTGATGCAAGCTACTCTGTGCACTCCTGCACTAGGCTTCTGGCTCTAATTACATGATCAAATAGTGTTTTCTACAATACTATCCATATTGCCATCTTGTTAATACCTCGCTCTTCTCTAGTGCTTTCCAGCTGTTGATCTCAAAGCGCCTCACAAAGGAGATCGTTAACTTAATTTTATAAATGGGGGAACTGAGTCACAAAGCCAGGAAAGTGTTTTGCTTGAGATTGCCCACTAAATTAGCAGCAGCATTGGGAATAGAATCCATGTCTCCTGAGTGCCAGGCCAGTGCACTATCCACTAGGAAACACTGCCCTTTGTACCAAAATAAACACAGTAAAAAGGACACATGCAACATAATCCATATACAGTAATAGTGACAATTAGGTAGCACATATAGGCCACCAAATCAGCTTTCTAGTTAACTATTTCACACCCTGAGTTGCACCCGAGGAATTGGTTCAAAACGATGTATAAGCTGTTGATTAAACTTTTCACATGGCCATTAGAAAGGTGAGAATTCACATAGAATTACTGCATGAAAAGTCTGGTAATAAAGCGATAATGAATTATTATGACACTACAACTGGCATTAGGGTTAAACATTGGAGGAAATAAGTACAAGCTATGACATCTTGTTAATACCTATGTAAGGATGTGAGGCAAACCGTATGATTACCCTGCATTCTTTGGAAAATTGGAGAATCAGAGAATTTTAAAGCCAAAAGGGCCATTTGATCATCCAATTGGTCCTCCTGTACAACACAGGCTATGTGAGGTAAAGGGAGAAGGGATGGTCTTAAGGATTGGACACTGAAAGGGGACTTGGGAGACCCTTTGCTAATTAGACAGATACGTTGGCAACCTCAGGCAGATCCCTTCAGGCTCCGTTTCCCATCTGTAAAATGGGGTTAATAGTAATTCAGTAGCATTCTGAGGATAAAGTCCATTGATAAGTGATGATTCGAAGGCATTCAGATGCTTTGGTGAAGAGGGGCTATACAAGGACCTAGCCAGCTGCAAACCAGGAAGTGCAAACCTAGTTCTAAGGTATCACAGGACAGCTCGTTTTTAAAGTTACAAACCAACACAGCTCCTGCTGAGACTTGTTGGCGTGGTTATCTGAGCAGCCTTAGCATTCAGTGAATGTTGGTTTCTTTGCGGGGTGGATTCTGGGAGAATGTGACAGCATTTAACCTGGAAGAACCCAGTTCCCACGCCCTCCCGCATCGTATTTTAGAGGACCAGGGAAAAGATGGGGATGCTTTAAATCGCTCTTGGCTCTCAAGAGTGTTAGGAACAGTGGGATTTTGACAGCTGGAGCAGCCTGATCAAACCTTTGCCATTAAGTCCTTTGCTTGCTGCGATCTCTGGGTTAAAATACTGTAAAAACAGCCCCTCTGGCACTTTAAAGAAGTCATTTGACAGCTGTGACCTCTGGGGATTGGGTCACAGCTTTGAAATGTGGCCTTTTCTAGCCTGCCTGGCAGGGGCAAGGGTGCTACTAAATCAAGGGACATGCAAATCTTTAGAAAGCTCTGCTCAAGCAGGGGCACATGCCACACCTAAAGCCACAGAAAAGCCAGTTTAGCTTTGGCTCCCTCGTTGCACGTTGCTGAGGCCATGTATTGCTAGAGAGGATCCAAGCTTGCGGGATGCTCTACTGTTCTGTCCATGCCAGGGGGGTAATAACAGAGCTCAGCCAGATGCTACTGCCGAGTTCCTCCTAGTTATCTGGTGCTGGCCACCCTCAGACTGGGGGAGACGGCCCTTGGGTCTGAGCCTGGTTGGCCAGTCCTGTATTTTCTCACCTTCTCCCGTGGCTCTTGCCCTGGTGCAGCAACATCTTCCTAGCAACAGTGGGAGCCATCGCTCAAAGCAGCCCCTGGTGTTCCACCACCACCTTGATGGCTTCTCCAGAAAGTGCATCGCCCAGCTGCTTGGCGCAGCAGCTGGTAGCCCCAGGGCAGACCACTGGCGGCTCTGGCCCCGGGGGAGATCTGAAGAAAAAGCTCAGAATAGACACAGCCTGAAAGGGAGACGGGTTGCAGTGAGAATGCGACACAACTGGAGCGTTGCCCCTAAACCAACCCATTGACTCACCAATATCTCCAGCTCAAGTTCAGGGGCGCTTTACAGGTGAGTTAGTAATGCAGTGGGGATGCAACTGCAGGCTACAAGAGCAAGTTAGCCCAGCTCCGCTGCAGCTGTTGTGTGCTGCTAATTCATGCTGTGTGGCTCCAGGTCATTTTGCAGTGTGGCCGTGCTCATTCCATGTAAAACCGATGGACCCTGGTTGTCAACAGGAGGGACTGAATTTGCAGTCTCAGGAGCTAGAACCATGTGCCTCTACAGCCTATGGCCTAGGGGCCAGACCCGGCCCCTAGCTTGCCTGGATCTGGCCTCCAAAGCTCAGGACTCCCCTCCCCAGCATTGGTGAGCCCCACTCCAGAGCCTGGGGAGCCCACAAAATCTATTAGCCCAGGCCCCCCCATGGCTCTGGTGTGCAAGGGAACTGCTTCTCAGTTGGGGGCCATGTCAGTGAGGTTAGTTTTTGTGCCACCCCCGACCGATTTTTCTGTGCATCAGTGGCCCCCAATCCAAAAAACGGTTCCCCACTCCTGCCTTCAAGTTTCTTTCATTAGCTAGCTCTAAAGTTTTATTCATAGATTACATGGCCAGAAGGAACCAGCGTGCTCGTCGAGTCTGATCTCCTGTATTACACAGGCCATAGGACTTCCCCCAACTCATTCCTGGAGCAGCTTTTAGAGAAAGATCTGCTTTGGATGGCCATTCTTTATGTAGCATCCAGAACAAAATGTGAGGCATCCCACAAACAGTAAGAAAACAGGGCTCTCTCCCAAAGCGTTTACAAATCCTCGAGTTAAAAAAGCCAACAACTTTGCATGATTCTCTCCACAACTAGCACATGAAACATCACAAATGGAGCATTCTGACTTCGGCTGGGGGGGGGGCAGAGCAGCAGGTGTTGCTATACTAAAGAAATGTGTTTCCAATCCGAAGGTGATGTGCTTCATGTATTTCTGGATGCCTAAATAAGACCCATCAGAAAGCTGGCGAAAGCAAACAGTACTTTTTTGGACTAGGTAATGAAAGAAGAACTTGAAACGGGTGTAACTGGTTATGTCTGCAGCGTAAAAACCATCCGCAGCAAAATGCAGTGAGTTGAAATCAGACGTCTCTCTAAAAAAAGCTTTCGCCCACTGTTGCTATATGTAACACTGGAGATTACTATAACAGAAAGAGATCAGAGGAGCAACCTTCTTCATTTTTTCCATGTGGCAGCACTTTGCATATAGTCAGTTTCCCTTGCTTGATAGTCTCTTGTGCAGCAACAGAGGCAAAAATGCTATTGTAAAGCCACAAAATTTGACCCAAGGCAGGGAGAGAGGACTGCTTTTAACTCCTGATGTGAAACTGACCAGATCTCAGGCTGGTGTGGTTTTACTAGAGATAGCTCTATTCTGAACAGCTAGGGTACAGGCTTAAAAATAAACAGAACAAAACCACACTAGTAGGATTACTCCAGTTTTACAGATGGCGGAACTGAGTTGTGACGTGACTGGATGTTTGTGTCTGTAAGTGTGTGATCAACTCGCCTTTCTTTGAGATGCTCTTTGGATTCATAGCCACTCTTCACTGTAGTCACGGCAGCTGCTTTTGGATCTCCGCCAATGGTGCGCATCTCCACGTTGGCCTTCCATGGTGACTGAAGGGGAGCAGAGAGGCTGGGGACATAGGATGTGGAGGCAGCGGGGTCACTGAGAAAGAGATGTGCTACATATATGGGGAAGGCTTTCTGTATGAAGGCAGCCTGTGGCAGGGCATTGTGGTTATTTGGATTAAAACTATCCTCACCCCAGAGATAGGAACTGGGCTGTCAGCTAAGCTGGGTGGCCCAGATGTTCAGAAGCTCACAAGAATTTTGCATGTGTTCCAACTTGTGCGATGTACGTGGTGTGAGTGCCCACACGTGTGTGCAAATCCCTTGTGTGCGCACTAGGGATTGCATGTGCACAGAAATAAGCACTCTTAGTATATTTGGGCCATTTTAAGCACCAAAAGGCCAGTGGAAGTTACACATACAATGGTAGCTAAAGGCAGAATAAGGCCACTAGAATGGAAACTAGATAGGTCAATGTGAACCAGGGGGCTAATGAGAGAGATCTGTTTTGATGCAATTGTGCTGGGCACAAGCGTGACATGGGTGTGCTTGGAGGTGTCTGTAAGACACAGACTCATGCTGGGCCTTACTGCTTTCCCTGCAGCATCCAGACTAATCAGAAAACCAGAGGCGTCCTGACAGTGCCAGGCTGCCAGTGTCTTACCCCGGGATGCCCCGTGATGTGCGGCCTTAGCCAGGAATAAGGCGAGTGCCCCAGGTGCACTAGTGCTGCAGGGAAGAGAGAGGGACTAGGCCTGAGAGGCAGGCAGATCATCCTGACCTTCCTTCAAGAGTTTAATCAACTCCTTCAGCACGTCATGGTATAAGGGGCACCCCCTCACAGCCAGCCTTCTCCCCCTTGTTCTCTGACACACCCCTCCCCCCAACAGACCAGCCGTGGAGGGCTGACAGTGGCTGGTCCAATTATACACTTCACAGGCCTGCCCACATGCAGGTGGGAAACTCCTTTACATGTAGGTACGAGACGCTCACTAACTAAGCGCAGGTTTCTTTTGAGAGCTGGTGCTAGGCCATGCATTATCCAGCCCAAAGAGCGAGATCCAGCCATGTCCGAGGGAAGGGAGAAGCCAGGAGGTGAGAGACCAAGAAAGTGGCAATTGCTGAGAGGGGCATGTGGTAAAAGCCGCATGCTCCAGGCAGCCTCTGTTGCAAAGGGACCCAGCTGACTCTGTGCTCTCCTCTTGGTCCATGTAATATCTTGTATTGATTATATGCCCACCCGGCCGTAGAGTCATATGAAGTAACAGTCTGTGGTCGGAAAGACACACGCGTGCCTTGTGTGAGCAACACAGCGGCACGCTCTGGAGTAAGTTATTATTCCGCTTATAAAATTGTACTTTTTAGTTTTAATAAAACACATTAAATGGTTCAGTCGCCTCCGTGCAGGGCTGCATGTTGTTAATTTACCTGCGGGGACTGCACCCATTGCTGTGTCAGGGGAGATGTTTGCTCGGGGGGGACACCAGCTGTGGTCTTGGTGGGAGATTGAATGACACGCTCTCCTGGCTCCAGTAACAGTCCCAGAATCCATCGCTATCCGGGGATTGACCAGGTGGGATCCTGCCCAGATGCCGATGGGCAGCTGAACTCCGATCACACTTGGGCACAGGGGTTTTCTGGGAGCAGGATAGAGTAGAAGAGACTGTCTGGCAGAGCTTGGAGGAATCCGATCTGGACTTATTCCTTCCCCTATGGTAGGCTCCATGCCCATGAAGGTACATCCTCCTTCTCGACTCTGATGGGCAAAGTTTGCAGCCTGGCTGCACGGTATCATTTGCTTGGGGGGCTGTAAATGGGAAGCAGGACCCTGTTATGCAAGGCCACTATGCACCTACAGTTCCTGCCCCCAAGGAGCTTACAGTCAGGACATGACTGGGATACAGGAGGTGGAGGAAGGCTGAGTGGACAGCGTGCCGAGTGGACTGCTTGCCAGCTGCTCCAAGCATTCCATAAGCATCCCAGCAGAAAGGAGCCTTAACAGGGGCAGTGTGGTAGCTGTGAACTTTTGGGAGGTTCCTCCACGCCAAGGAAAGGGCAACACCCCTTGTGGGCAGACTGAGGGGTGAGAGTGGCTGTCGTCACTGGCGGGGCAGAGGCAGGAGGTGACACTGTGATGGCACGTCCGAGGTGAGGCAGGTGGGAGGTAAGCTATGAAGAGCCTTATTAGTGAAATCACAGCAATCATTCGTGGCTTTTACCTGGCACTTCTCAGCAGCAGCTCAAAGCGCTTCCCAAAGGCCGGCAGACTCGCTACAGCCCTTGCACGGCTGGGGAAAGGAAAGCGAGGCCCTGGGAAGGCTACCCAAGGCAATCCACTCCTCCATGTGCTAGGACAGGCGGCTGCTCCACCCAAGGACACCAAGAAGCAGGTGACCAGGACGATGACTGCAGCCACAGTCTGACTGGGTAAGAGGCAGGCTGGCATTGGTCTGTGACCGAGAGAAGATGCAGCTGCCAGTCTGTGCCTAGGCAAGTTGCATGTCTTTCCATCTCCCAGGCAGAGGCTGACAGCTATTGCTGTCCCCCATGACGGAGTGGGGGGGAGGGGCAGGGTGTGAAGTCAAGGGAGCGTCTTTCTGCCCCGATGAGTGGTGGATTGGCAAACGGGGCTGCCGGCCGGCACAGGTCTTTACCCCAGAACGTGGTGGAGTGCCCAGCAGGTTATCAACAGCCGTTTAGGTTCCCTCTGGCCCCTGGCTTCATGTGTTGTCTTGGGGTGAATCCCAACCTGCTCCAAGTTGCAGGTGTTGCCAACACTAGAGGCACAGCCCCGAACAGCCAGGGCAGACGGAGGCCAGAGAGCGGGGACAGGTGGAGGCACTGGGGGGGTCTTGGTCCCAGCTAGTGAGAGGAAATAAAAAGCCCAGCTGCAGACGAGGGGTGTAGCTCAGCCGCCGTGCCCACCACCTTAAAGCAGGCTGGCTGCCAGCAGGGTGCTAGAATGCCCTTCTGATGAGCTTTCAGGGCCGGGCATGGGGAGCCCCAGGGTCAAGCATGAGAGCCACTCACCTCCTTTCTCCTGCCTGGCTGGGAAGGGGGAGGGGGCCTCCCATCCCGAGCACAGTGGTCAGGTGAGTAGGCAGTGTGTCGACCCAGAGTTGGCCACCAGCTGGCGAATACAGCACGCAGTCAGCGCGGCCCCCCTTTTGCATTCACTACGCTGAGCATGTGGCTGCATGCGCCTGTGGGCAATGCACTGAACTGGCATCAGGAGACCGAACCGCTTGCCCTGGCACTGATCTGCGTGGCCATGAGCAAATCATTTCCTGGACTTTGTGCCTCAGTTTCCCCTCCTCACCCTCTCTCTTGTCCATTGAGACAGGGAGCTCTCCGAGGCAAGGCTGGCCTTCCTGGGCGTCAGTACCGCACCTGGCACAGCACTGAAATCACTGACAACGATTGCTGCTTATCATTAGCATTTCATCGCCGTGAAGTGACTGATTTCAGCACGAAGGGGGGAGGACGTCTGAACTGAGGCTGGCGCGGGAAGGCTGTCCCCGTGAAATAACCAGGGCCAGTGCCAGCCTCTGGACTGTTTGCTCAGTGGCTGCCTCTGCAGGAGAGGACGGCAGCCTTTTCCACACACACTGAGAAGTGTCATCGGTGCTCGAGAGGGGGAGAGGTTTGGCTGCAGAAGAATGGGCCATCAGAGCTGCAAGCACCCAGCAGGAGGAAGTTATTGGGGCAGGAGAAAGGGACGGGGCAGTTCTCAAGCGCCCCTGGCAAGAGAATCCAATCCTCTGGCTGACTGATGGGGAAGGCTCTGACGATGACCAAGGTCCTAAAGTAAATAGCTTCCCACCGTGCTCCTCTTCCTCTCAGGCCAACCCCCGCCAGCGAGGGAAGTGTGGAGAACACCGAACCAGAAGGTGATATAAACACCAGCCCCTTGGCTCCTTGCCTTACAACACACCCGAAACCTGTGTTCGGGGCACTGAGGGCCATCGTCTCACCACGTCCTACGCCTGCATTTAAAGCCAAGTCAAGGGGAATCTTTCCACCAGCTCCACTGGGCTTTGGATCAGGCCCTTCCTGTGTCTGTTCTCCCCTTCACAGCCTCTCTTATGCCCTCTCCCTATGCCTGGACATGCTGTTTCCCCTGCTGTCAAGGCTGTTCCCCACTCTGGCATGATGAATGCAGAAGTTGGGGGACTGCAAGAGCACTCCAAAACCTCTCTACAAGCTCTGGTACAAACCCCCCCCCAGAATCCTAATACCCAGATTTTGGGAAATCTGCTGCCACCATTAAGTGCTTTTGAACCCACAAACAGCAGTGGACAGGGGTACCCTAAGCTCTTTTCACCAAAAGGGCTTGAAAAAGAAAAGAGAAAAAAAAACAAGCTGCAGTCTGTGGTAGTCGACCCCTCAGTCAGGTATGCAGATAGACAGACAGACCTTCCAGGGCACAAAAATCAACCAATACCGGTTAATTATAAAAAAAAAACCAATAATTTATTATCAAAACAAAACTACAGTTACAAGCATAATAAAGTGGCTAGATGGAAAGAGCCACCAATTGAAATAGATACTCAGGGGAACCCCCCTGGGCTAAAAGACTTAGTTACAAAAGAAAAAAAAAACCACAATTAACAGCTCAGACATTATTTCCAAATCCTCAAACAAGGAAAACAACAAATCCTGACGGACTAGTTAAACTTTTCCCTACTTACACCTTGTAAGAGGTCCATTCTTGGAGAGAGAAGTGTCTCCCCTCTCCTCAGTACTTGGAAGAAACTGCTCTGCCTCTCAAACAAAGGAGAGAGAAAACCCTCTCTTCCAGTTTGAAATTCCTACCTGCTTTGTTATTGGCTGACCACCCGATACCTGGCTAGGTCCAGGAGACATTAGTTAACCCCTTAGTCACCGGGTGCTGGTCAGCACTCCTGATTATGACACCCGCCCTGCCCCAAACATGTGTAGGTTTTGTGTTATGGTGCTAAAGAATGGGGTGAAGCCCTGACCCTGGGCTTGCCTTTAGCTGGCTGCACAGTTCAGTGAACTCTCTTCGGGGCCCATGCTCTAGTCTTGGTTGATCATCAGCTGATTCCCAGTGTTCAGGCTCTGGGGAAGAGGGGGTGTGAATCAGGTGATTCACGGCATTCCAAAAGTGCTGGGAGAGCGGGGAAGGAGTAGGTAAGTGCATCCCTTCAGTGCCCCAGCGTGAAAGGGGGCAGAGAGAGAGTGGGCAGGCCTCCTGCATGTGGAATCCCACAGGCTGACCATCACTGGATTTTGATCTTGTGATCGCCACTCACTAGCGATCCACTCACTAGTCTTGGTTGCCCATTGACATAAAAGGTTACAAGGAGCAAAATTGTTCTTGTTAACCTCTGAGGATAGGACAAGAAGCAATGGGCTCAAATAGTAGTAATGACAGTGCTGGTTGGACATTAGGAAAATCTTCCTGTCAGGGTGCTTAAGCACTGATATAAATTGCTTAGGGAGGTTGTGGAATCTCCATCACTGGAGATTTTTAATAGCAGATTAGACACCCACCCGCCAGGGATAGTGTAATATTTAGACCCGCCAGGAGTGCAGGGGACTGGACTAGATGACCTCTCGAGGTCCTTTCCAGTTCTGTAATTTACCAAAAACCTAATTTTTCAGCAAATAAAAAGTACTGATTACCATTTTGATTAAAAAACAAACCACAAGCATTAAAAATAATAATCTACTGTGCTGCACTGAGCACCCTTTGAAACACAACCCGGTTTGCATTTTGTTGTGAAACTCTTTTCAGGGTTTTGGGACCAGCTCTGGCTTCTGCTTTCTACCCTGGCATTCCATAGAATATCAAATCAAGGTCACGGTCCTTCTCATGAAGGACCTCTGTAGCTGGGCCTAAGCATCTGAAAGGCTGCTTAATGCCACGAGAGCACAACTGTGGGGGAGAACTTTTGTTGGACTGTAGAACAAACTTCCCCAGGAACTAGGGACCATCCCAAACCTCATCACCTTCTCTTAAAGTGCAAAGTACGGTTCCTTGGCCAGGCCTTCACACAATGTGTATTTAAATTTAAAAGAAAAACAAAAAAGCCCTACCAAAAGCAGACACTCCACTGCACAGCAAAGGTACTCCTGTTACTTCATCTTCTCCTGGAAGGCCCTCACATAGTATGGAAATGGACATGGTCTAAGAACTTACACAGCATACAATCTAGGGCTAGAGAATGACAGACCGAATGACTCAGCAATGCAACACAGCTGCATAAAAAGCAAATGCTACAGTGGGTTGATTTAATAGTTGTGTGTCAAATAAGCAACATAATCCGCTCAACTGAGCGTTGATCAGGTCTCTCCTGGAGTATCCTGTTCAGCATTTTTTAGGCACCACATCTGGAAAGAGACAGACAAATTGGAGAGCGAGTCCA